TAGGTGCTCAGTAGCTGCATGTGACTAGTGTGTACTTTATTGTACAACACAGTTTTGGTGATATGACTGCTGCTATCAAACACTCCTAATACTCCTAATGTGACAATAATTATCCAATTATCTAATTTTCCAGCACCATCTTCAATTAAACCTGTACCATCAGTGAGAAATTACAAAGTTTGCCATCACTGATACCAAAGTACATAAAAAATTCGTACAGCTTTGTGAAATCAAGGATTCTATAGCAATAGTCTCATATTTTTACTAATAATGCCTTCTGTACTCAAGTTTCAGAAGTCTTCACATTTTTCACGCCCACACTCTTTGTTTTTGTCAAAGAGAAAAAAATCTTCATATGAGCAGAACCAATGGACACAGACAGTAGGGGGGTTAGGGCATGTGCTGGGCAGTGGGGAGGGCCAGGGAGAGGTCAGTGGGGAAAAGGAGACATATGTAATTCTATATGTAATACTTTAAACAATAAAAAAAATTTTTAAAAAAATGAAATCCACTAACAAACCTAGTAGGTGTCAAATTCAACCAGTAAGAAGTTTATGTGTAAATTTGGAAGTTCACATAATTAACCTAAAGCTTAAAAACTAACCCACTTAAAAATCACAAACGGTGCTTTAATCAACGCATTTCATATTACATGTGAAAATAATAATATGTGTATTATATATATATGTTTATATTATATAGAATATCACTTTAAAGATATAAGTAATAGGAAAATTGTGGATAATAACAAAATTTCACTTCAAAGCAGATTGCATTTTGGGGGGAATCTTTACACTTTGAGTTGACATTTACATCATCATAAGGATCAGGAAACTATAGCTTGGAAGACATAATTATTAAAACATTCATTCAAAATGAATAAGTAAACAGATAAAGCACATCTCTCTCTGAAAGGTGCTGGGATTCCCATTTGACTGGAGCATGTGTCACATTACCAGGACAAATGGAAAGGGGTGGGGCTGGTTCAGCAAGGTCCCCACAGAGAGAGGGGCATCTAAAATCCAACCTGCATCTGCTTACCTACCACATTGGGTTGCATGGCATTGTCTTCATTGTTGCTTCTGTTCAAAGAGATTTTTGTAAGGATCAGTTTCACTGTAGAGTCGGGCACACAGTAAGCACTTCAAATACATAGGTAAATTGAACTAAAGTATTAAGTCTAGGCAGGGAGCTTTTAAAAACTTTAGTTGTCATCAATGACTGGGTATGTTAAATGTGGTCATAACCTTGTTGTGTTGTCTGTAGGTTAAAACATATTGATCTTTATATTCTAGGCATTTGGCAAATGCTGTTTCCCTCACTAATTTTTCCTCACTTGGTGATAAATACACCCACAATCCCCAAATATTATGAAATACTATAATATTATTTCAGAAGTTTAAAGATAAAGCAATTTAGTTGTAGTTAATGACTTTGAGAAAGACTAAGCCCAGTCATAAAGCAAAAGTATTTTTAGAAGAACTGAGAAAAGAAAGGATTTGTTTAGTTTTCTCTTCGTCACTAGCCTTATAAATATGAAATACAAGAACTGAAGTTTTTCCTTCTCTAAAGGGGTATAGCAGTGGGTGGAAGGGTACTAAAAATGGAAGGACCATAATCCGAACCCCAGAGTGGTTCCGCAGAAAGGATTTACCATTGCCATGAATTGAAGGCTTGTTTCTCACCAAAACTCATATGTTGAAATTCTAGTGCCCAGTGTGATGATGTTAGTAGGTAAGAGGATTAGGTCATGAGGCAGAGACCAAATGTGGTTCATGCCTTCTGAAAGAGCAAATAGAAAGATCCCTTGCCCCTTCAGCCATGTGAGGATACGAAGAGAAATTTTCATATGGGAAGAGGGCTGTCACCTGACCATGCATACATCCGGTCTCGACTTTCAGCCTCCAGAACTGAGAGAGGTAAATGTCTGTCCTTCATAATATTGGTGGTGGTGTTAGACCGCTGTTCCTGAGTTCAGAAAAAAAAAAAGAATTCAGAGCCAAGAACTGTAGCTCAAGAAGTTTATTGAGCATTTTAGAAAGAAAGTCTCAGAGGCCTCTAGAAGTGAGCCAGTTAGGCTGCGTGGGCTCAGAAAACAAGTTACAGAGGCTAGGAAAAGACCCTTGGAGCGTAGGAAGAAAGGCAGAGAAAAGGTGTCAAAGGAAAGAGGTGGGGGAGGGGGGAAGGGGAGGTGCAGATATGCTCTAGACCAGGCTCTCTGGACCCCTTGCTTTAAGGATTTTTACATCTGTTTTCTAAAGTTGGGTGCTTAGGAGATATCTCAGGGGAGGATCTTGATAGAATGTTCCTGCCCTGCCCATGCCTAACTGTCCACTCTATCAAAGGTATTCACTCTGTGATATTTGTTATAGCGGCCCGAATGGATTAAGACACCTGTCGTACTAATCGCTATGGGTGCATGTCCAATAAAAGGTGAAGTCCTTGCTTGTCAAGGACTATGCAGTGTAATAGCATTGCCAGTATAGCATATACATAATATTTCCTCATTATTTTGAGAAAGCCAAGTGAATAGAATAGGAATAGAGCTATCCATTTTTGAATATGGATAAAAAAGAAAGAAGCTTGAGAGCATACTTGTGTCAGGGCTGCCCCAGCGGCTTGGAAGCTTTATGTGAATTAGAGCTGCTTTCCCTCCTGCAGCTGAGCTGACAGGAACAGGCTGCATTCCAGCCCCTGGCCCGCCCTCAGTGGGCATCAGGTGTAGCGCACCAACAGAAGGGGCAGTGAATATGTACCAAACACTGCAGTGAATTTCTTAACTGTAGAAATACAAATGTCTAGTATTAATAATACTTAACCGCTCCTTACTCCCTCCCCAAAGAAACCATCAACACACATGGAGTAGCCTGCTCTTGCCTCACTGCTTATGGTAACTCTGCTGTCAAAACCAATTCGATGTTACATTTTCTGCTCACCTGAAATTCTCTTTATTTGACACTATTTTATTTTTAGCTATTCAAACTCTCTCCATTTTTATTTTCTTTCCAGCTTGAAATCCATATTTGCTAAGAAAAAACAACAACAACAAAAAAAACATTTTAGCCCATATATATATATTTTCTTGTCTTTGAATTCTGGTAGGGTATTGTTAACTAGAATATTTAAGTGTGCAGTTACTATTTATTTGCTTATTAATGAATTATCCTCTCTCTTCCAGAAGGCTTTGAAGCACTTTACAGTTTAAGAGGTTTGAGGAAATAAGGTCGCAGAGAATATTAGAGTTCTCCAGAGAAAAGAATTAATAAGTGTGTGTGTGTGTGTGTGTGTGTGTGTGTGTTTATACAAATGCTATATAATGCGCTGTAGTATTGGGATATAGATATTTTACACATATATTTATTTTAAGGCATTATCTCATGTGACCATATGATTGTAGAGCAGGTGTGGGAAACAGGCCATGAAATCATTTGAGCTGGCCCTGCCAAGGCATTATGGGTGAGTTAATGAAATGTTTGACCAAATACAGCAGGCTAATTTTTAAGTTGATAATTTTGTATGGCCCTCAGATAGCGTTATAAATATCCAAATCCCCTCGACATAAAAAAGGTTCCCCACCCCTGTGGTAGAGACTGACAAGCCCAACATGTATAGGTCAGGTCAGGAGGCTGGAAATATGGACAGAAGTTGATGGTGCAGTCTGGAGTCTGAATTCCACAGGCCAGCAGGCTGACAATATAGGCAGAGTTTCCAAGTTTCCGCTTTGAGGAGAATTCTTTCTTTTCCAGGAACCTTCCACTGGTTGGATGAGGCCTTATGTAGGCAAACTCTCACTAAGATAAAATAATCAAGCAATTACAGTTTAAATTACCTTTGAAATTCTAATTAGACCAACATGAATTACAGTAGCTTTGTACCTATGAGAAAAACTCATGTAAATCACCAATTTCAGTACATTGAAGTTAGCATGAAGTAGTCAGAGTAACTTGTTTCTTTATCTGGGTTACTATAGTTTTCTTCAAGGCAGTGCTAATTGTTTTGTATTCCTAAATAGTGGGATGGGATTCTGTAGATTATGACAGCCTCCTCTGTTTCCTAAATCTAAATACCAGGAGATTTCACCTCTTATACTTAATTTATGGCTTAAAAATAAGCCCTTTAGCCCTGGCCATTGTGGCTTGGTTGGTGGTGGGTTCAATTCCAGGTCAGGGCATATACCCAGGTTGCAGGTTTGATTGATGTCTCTCTCTCTCTCTCTCTCTCTCTCTCTCTCTCTCTCTCTCTCACACTCTTCCTCTCTATAAAATCTATTATAAAATTCCCTTCCTCTCTCTAAAATCAATTTTAAACAATAAAAATAAGCCCTTTGGAAGCTTTCTACTTTTTGTCCTACTTGGAGTTTTATTAAAAGAGAATTCAACACAATTTTATCTACCTTAAGGCAGGATAAGTATTTTCTCTCTATTACACTTACATATTATATCCTGGTGCTATGTGACTGTCTGGCATTATAAACTATTATATATTCCATTGAATGAATTTTGTAAAAAATATGCCTCTTAAGGATGAACTGTTTATGAATTCCCCATGGCCTCCTCCACCGAGGGTGCAGCATTTTACTAACCAGGAGAAAAATAGCTTAATTTCATGGTTTACAAGTAAGAAAAATAATACCTTCAATAATGAAAATTAGGATCTATAAAAGAATAGAAAAGGAAATGTAACTACTAAATGTTATGGGAAGCAATATAAAGATTAGTTCATTTAATTAGAACATAGCACAGCCATGGTGTTCAGCTATTCACAGGAGAATAAAGTGTGAGAGACAGGATGGTGAGTCTGAGTCCTCGGTTGGCCCCTGAGGACTCTGTGACTTTTACTGAGTCTGTGTTCTCTCATAAAATGTCAGAATCACAAAGCTTATCCTATAGGGTGATGGGCAATTATGTAATTGTTTAGTGAATTCTGAGTGTATTCCAAATATAAAGTATGCCATGTAGTACTTAACATTTAAGTTTTCTTGTTCTGATAGCACTGGGATGGGAAGCAAGAAACCTTGGTTCAAAAACTAATAATTTGCTCTCTTTTGTCCAATATTTTTGGGCGACAGTAATTTCTAAGTGGCGTTTTGGTGGAAAGAAAGACATTTCCTGGGTTTTTATAGCTCTAAAACTCTTAATATTATTTGCAGCTTTATTGTAAATAGCTCTGTAGAGATTTGGTCTATTTAAATTAGATCAATAAATTATAATTTCAAGAAAGTATTAGTGACTCGTGCAAGACCCCATAGAAAGTCAGCAACTGTGTGGAGATAAGAAATTTAGAATAGAGCCCAGAATCTGTTACTCCTGGCTAGTGTTATTCTGCTGAAAGTTATTTTATCCCTGCCTGGGTAATACTTTCAGTTACTATAATCCAATTGATTCTGTTCTTGTAAATCATGGGAAATATGGGCGTACTCGGCACACTTCCATTCACTGTGTCAGACCCTGTGCTAATTAACGGATCGGAACAACCAGACGCATACGGCATAGCTTCCTGCCTCCAGAAACTCAGTCTCGCAGAGGATCTTACAGATTGCCGTTTTTCACCAGGTTGTGTCGCTGAAGTCGGTAATGTTCGATGTGCTCTGGGTACTTCAATTACACAGCTTCCTTCAACATTTGCTATGAGGGATCTCAAAAGGAAGGACAGGAAAAACGCATTGCTTTGCTCATTAACAGCATGGTGAAGAAGAGACACATCATTCTGAAAGAACAATGAAGACGCTCATTTCTATCAGGAATTTGTACATTCGCTGTGGCATTTTGAAGTCCTGTGCCTGATTATGTATGCACACATCACACATATAAGTCATCCCCATCATACACATTTTCTACTTGATCTTCACAGCAAACCTGTGGGATAGATTTATCCTACTATTACAAAAGATGAATCCAATGTTCAGATATGAGGACATATAATTTAGCTATTTGTCTTCCTCATTAAATTGTAAGTTCTTGGGAAAGAGAATATAATAGTGAAAACAACTTGCTTATCCTGAATTATATGCCCCAGGAAAGCTGTGTGTGTACCAGAGCAACTGAACCTCTCTAAATACTGGTTTCCTTGCCTATAGAACAGAATTATGTGAAAAGAATAGAAAGTCTTGGTAGGGCCAGCACAGATTAGTTATACAATACATGCGTTCTACATGCAGGACACTATTCTATATGGTGGAGAGCCCACAAATAGCTTAGTAATGATGTGGGAGGGATGTCATCCAATAACCTCTACATGGGAGCTTCTTAAACAGCCGGTGGTTTAGCAGCGCTAAAAGAGTCAAACCCAATTATTACTTATATGCAAAATCATAAATGACTTGCAAATGATAGGGGCATGTTATTTTAATAACTCGGTGAAAGCTTAAGAGACTCTTGCCTAAATCCAGATAGGAATTAAAGCGTGATAATTCTTCTTATTCTACCTCCAACACACACAGAGTAGTGATCCAGAAATGGTGAATGCTGAACAGGACTTAAAGTGAAACACACACATGATAACCTTTATCGATCTTGACTTTTACACCTCGGTCAAACCTAACACGGAATATGAAAGCTTTCTCACCTAAAATAGAAAAATCCATATGTTGCAATTCGGGGGAGAAAAACACAAAACTTACAAACACGTCTGAGTTGATAAAACAATGTCTGATTACCAGGACGGTACCCACAGACCAAAGCATTCAGCCTCATTAATTACCATTTGGAACCAAAGTGGCCACTGTCAGTCCTGCGGCTTATACCCAAGCTGTGACAAAAGAAACCAACCGCCGAAGCCGGTTTGGCTCAGTGGATAGAGCGTCGGTCTGTGGACTGAGGGGCCCCGGGTTCGATTCCGGTCAAGGGCATGTGCCTGGGTTGTGGGCACATCCCCAGTAGGAGATGTGCAGGAGGCAGTGTAAAAAATCAATAAAATATATTTAAAAAAAAAAAAAAAAAGAAACCAACCGCCTGAGTGTAGCAAATTCCCTACAGAAGCAGGACGCATAGAGGATGATGGTTCCTTTAAGCAATTTTGGAGAAGCTTAAAGCAGCTGCCCTCAAAAAAGGCAGAGACTCTTTAAGGACAAAAAGAAAAGTAAGGAAGTTCTGTCCCTCCGTGTGGGGAAAGTGAGCAGCTGTCTTACCTGCCAGTGCAAAAGCTGTGTTTGAAGACCTAAACTCCAGAACTTTAAAGGAGACCTTATTTTTACTTTCTGTTGCTTCATTCCCTGTGCTATTCAATTTCACAATTACAAAGATCAATCCTTTCAACGAGTTGATTGATTGCCATCATTGATTTTGAACACAGAGGGTGGTGAGGAAACATACATAAGTCTTGCTCGACATTTCAGCAAATTTCCTTCATTAAGTGTTTATATTGGCAAACCTGAAATGTATGTTCTTGCCTTGGAAATGGTTCCCTGACGAGCATAAACTGCTGGTCGTCCCCTTGCTCATCCTTATAAATTTTTTAATTAGGGCAGTGGTAAAAAAGAATCGAAGAGAAGTGCCACCTTCTAAGTGCTGGAGGAACAAACAAAAATAAAACTTGACTAGTGGCAGTGCAAACCGACTCTAAACTTCTAAAAGCCTTCCAGAAATATTACAAAATATTTTCACGCCTAATCTCTTTTCTCTCCTTTTCTAAAGTCTCAATATTCTGTTTCCTACAGACTTTCTTACACAGGCATATCGGCGTTCTTAGCTGGAACTGAGTCCCTTTGGCTAAGAATGGAAAATAGTACTGTCATGCTCGGCTAAGCAGTTTTTGCAGGGCTAACCATGTGGCTGCCCTGTGAAATAGCTTTCATCTTACCTCAGCCTCTATTGCTAGACAGCACCTACCGATGTTCGAAAGAATTCTCTCGGCCTCGCTCAGAATATATGCAGTGACTGCTATTTTAAGTCTACTGCTGTGGGTACCAAACATTCAACGACCACACAGTTCAAATATCTGCTTTCCCTCTTTGCACCCTCAGTCAAGCCTCCCTCCTGTATGCTGTGAAGACATTTAATTCAATTCAGTGAACATTTACGAAGAGCGTTCCGTACTTTGTTAGGCACAGGAAGCACACATGAAGAAGACATGAGCTTATAAACTGATAAGGAAGATAGCCATGTAAACAAATATAACCGAGTGTGATAAGTGAACACACCGGACTCTACTGAAGGTACAGAGGTGAGAGAGGAGAGCAATGCTGAACTCTCCCATTGGTGGAGGTGAGAAAGGTGATCAGGAAGGCACCCTCTGAAAGACAACCTGAGTTGAATTTGAAAAGATGATGAGGGTTTGCCTTTTTTAAAATCAAAAGTGACAAATAGATGGTTAAGGTTTCCTGAAAACATTTACATTTTAATTTGGAAAAAAAACAAAAAACAAAACAACCACCACAAAACAAAATAACTGTAGTCAAATTTTGGAAACTCTCCTCTCTTGAAGAAGAGTAACTCTTGACCTCTCCCTGCTCTTTGCCTCGCTACCCATGTTTATGTCTGGTGACTCACACTTTCTCTGCTGAGTTTGACAGCCCACTCTGCTAATTACTACAGTCTGTCTATGTGTTTACTAAAGCACTGCACTAAACTGGAATCTTTTGTTATTGCCCCTTTCTCACGTTTTTTTCTTTCTTTCTTTACTGCTGCATCAGAATTAACAGATTTTATTTGTCCATGCCTCATCAACATTGCTTATTAAGCTTTTCATATGAAACTGTTCCACCTCACTGTTTCAATTTCCTCATCTCTAATATGATAGCAGCAGTACCTACTTGAAAGGGTCCTTGTGAGGATTAAGCCAATCACAATGTGAAAAATGCTTAGAACAATGCAAGGCCCATTGTGCAAACTCAACAAATATCAGTATTGAGATAGTCAAGAAGAGCACCCCATACCCAGGAGCCTTTTCAGGTAAATTGCCTGTTTATCCCCCTTGGATTACTCCCGGTTTGAAACTAGCACTTTCAAAATTCAGTCAATATTTGAACGAATGTAAAAAAGCACTATGGGCCAGATACCTCTTTTCTAAACCAACAGGACTTTCTCAAGTGTGGGTAAATGGGACATTCAACTTTTACTTCTGTCTTTTTATCTAACATGCATATTTTTTCATCTAAAGCAAGTATATTTTAGTTATAGGTTATGTGACAGTAGCTCCCAGTGGGGGATCAGTAGGGGCCAGCTTAGAGGTTTCAAGCTTCTCTCATAGCTAAGTGTAGCCATGTATAAGTGTGCTCTGGCCAATGGCACATGCAGAGCAGCACTGCTAGCTCTTGACCTTAAAACCATAGGATGTTGAATTCCCTGCTCCCTTTCTTCTTCCTACTGGCTGGGAGATGGTGGAAATTGAACCACCTGCCATGGATACACAGGTGAAAGTTAAAAATCAGAGATGGCATGCACAAGTAACTTCAAAAAGCTTGCTCACCTTTGGATGGATACACAAGAAAAAGAAAACAAACTTCAATTTTGGCAGGTCAATTAGAGTAGGTTAGTCTGTACCCAGTGAAATGAAAGAGAAGTAACTTAATGTAGAGAAGTGTAAATCTACATTGAATTGATATTTCCTTTCTATACTAATATTCTGAGTCTATTCACTACAAAGTTTTTGAAGCACTTAATATAATATTTAACATCTATCCTCCTCCTAAATAAGAAATGTTTCTTTAAAAGTGGTAGAAGAGCCCTGGCCAGTTTGGCTTTGTAGACGCAAGGGTCTCAGGTTTGATTCCTGGTCAAGGGCACGAACCTGCTTTGCAGGTTCCATCCCCCACCCAGGTTGGGGTGGGAATGGGAGGCAACCGATTGATGTGTCTCTCTCACATCAAAGTTTCTCTCTCTCTTGCCCTCTCTTCTCCCCCTCTCCCATTTTCTCTAAAAACCAATGGGAAATAATATCCTTGAGTGAGAGAAAAAAAGTTGGAGAAGAAAGTTTCAGTGGTTATAGTATCTATATTATCTACTTTTACCTTAACTACCATTTCAGTCTGTCACACTGATATATCTCTACACAATCATATATTGGCTCCAGGATTCATGTAACTGAAGTTTGAAAAACTAGAAGGTGTTCTATGTTCTATTCTACCTGGTAGCTAAGAGCCACTCTTACCTCTTTCTATCAGTGAAAAAAAAATTAAATCATGTTTTCCCCAAAATGTGTTAAATGATGTTTTCCCCTACTTATTATCAAAATCTAACTAAATGTGCTATATATAGCTATTCCTTAAGAGACAGAAGAAATAGAAGTATCACTTGGAATAAGTGAAATTAAGTGTGAACATTTATGCTCATCATAGGAATAATATCTTTCTAAACATAATCTCTGAGAAAATTCCCTGTTAAAGCATCAGAGATAAAGTGCAATTTATATTCATACTTTTTCATCTCATTAGAATCTTTTGTGAGCAATCTTTAGCCTGCAGCATCTGTTTCTGCTTGTAGAAATGCGGTTAGAAAGCAAAATTGAACTATTTGGGCTCTCAAAGTTCGCATTAAAGCTGCTCTAGACAAAATTTACTTTGGCCTTTCAGTTAATTAACCAACTTAACTGTTAACCTCACCTCTTACAGTGTTAAAGAAGTGAGATGTGCGTCTCTCACAATTATAACTTAAAGCTTGTATGGGACAAGATGATAGTTTTTCTCATCAACTTAATGTCCTTCCCCCAAAGAGAAATGTGCATTTAAATGGAAGATAAGGAACGTATCAAATTTAACATAACAACTTCTATTGCACTTTCAAAAATTTCTGTTTTTCACCCTAAGGGGAATTTATTCACTCCTCTTTTGTAAATCAGGTAATAAAACATTTCTTGTACAACTTTGTTTAAAGTCTCTGCCCCCTCACATCCTTCCAGCTACCTATTAAGTTGTTATCTAAACACTTTCTGCCCTGTATAGTAATACAAGTTGCATTTCAATTACTGACATGCATATTATATATATACATAAATAAATATAATTGCCCACCAGAATAAATTAATATTTTCATTCTTAAATATTTAAAGGTGACCCTGCTGACAATGCTATTGAGAAATTGTTGAAAATTGCTTGTTTGCCTTGTATGGGGCTGATTCATTCGAAGTATCTTACCCCACTCCTCTATGCAGTCACTGAGGACACCCTTGGATGAAGCTTGTCATTTTACGTGCTCTAGAGAGATTTAAATTGCAAGGCCACTGTCATTAGCAATCTGTCCGAACATCTGGAGAAATAACTAAATTAACTAACAGAAATTTATAAATATATCAATATATAACAAAGTAAGGATTAAGTTATACACATAACATCCGATATTCTTGGAAGTTAGGTTCCTAGAATGTAACATTCTAGGAATATTATAATAAAAATAAATGATCTAACATAGAAACCATGAATGAGTTAAACATCACAATTTGATTTTTAAAATTTCTGCACTTTACCCAACACACTAAATATATTCAGTATTCTTATTAATATTATTGTTTAAAAAATGCAGATTATTTAAGTTTTGGTTTTTCTATTTATATTTTCCTAAAAAATTAATAACATCATTGAACTTCTGATCTTATAATTAATTATCACTACAAACCCAAGTCCCATGGTGTTCCAGAACAGTTGCCCCTTAAGAATTTTAAAACAGCATCATCCTGCAAAAAATGTAACTCCTATGTTTGAACTAATTTAAGAATATTGGAATCAAATCTTAGTCATGCTACAGCCACACAGTTTCCTTCAAGAGAGGAGGATTTAAAAAGTGATGTATTGGGCAACCTGAAGGACTGAAGAATATATAGGTGATAACCTCCAGGAAATGCAGGAGTCTGTAGTTGTTTGGCTTACAGAAAGTCGTCTTTGAAGTTGTTTATTTTGACTGTAATCTGGAAGATAACAGAATTATGCAAAATGTGCTCTATGTTGTCAATTGTAGAGACTCAACAAAGGGTAATAACCAACGAGTGTACCAATGGGTGTAGAGAGTTGAGGTCCTCTGATAGATTTATAACATTGCAGGCAGTATTTCTCTTGGTGTTTGCTGTTTATCATGATGTTATTTTGCAAACACTGAAAAAAGAAGTGCTGAAGTATCCTGCATAGGGACATAGGAAATGGTCCAGATGTCAGCTGCTTCTTCTTGTCTCATAAGATCACAAAAAGATAGACTTGCACCTCCGGTGTCCAATCCCTGCAGACTCTTGTACCCTCTTCAACATTCAGCAGATTTGGGAGAACTCACATTGTCAGGATCTCCTTTGGTTTCTGCTTCAGTCCATTTATCACTTGTGGCTCCACATGTGCTACCTCAGCCACAAGCAGTTTCAAGAAAATAGGAATCTTGGCCCAATTTTTCACTTAAACAAACAAGCAAAAAAAAAAAAAACCCAAAACAAATAAAAAACACTCCACCTTTCTGATAAGGACATTTTGCAGGGGTGAGTTCAGAACTATCATCCAGGTGCTCTGCAAGAGCAAGGTCAAACTGGTTTTACAGTGAAGAGCTGTTTCCCATTCTGATTGATCAGTGAGTCCATCCTCACTTGTGGTGCCCATTCCACACAAATTGTCAAAGATTTTAAATATCATCCTTGAATGTGGTAGGATTGGAGGGAAGATGGAGATTTTGGAAAACTTCAGGAATACAAACAATTTCAACAAATAATACATTTCAACATGTCTAGTTTTTTATTTTTTTTAACTTTTATTGATTTTAGAGAGGAAGGAAGAGGGAGAAAGAGATAGGAACATCAGTGATGGAAAAGAATGATTGATCGGCTGCCTTCTGCATGCCCCTTACTGGGGATCGATCCCGCAACCCAACATGTGCCCTTAATCAAAATTGAACCTGTGACCCTTCAGGCCATAGGCCGATGCTGTTTCCACTGAGCCAAACCAACTAGGGCTCAACCTGTCTAGTTTTAAAAGTTCTTTAGCTGTTCCACCATTTAGCTCATCTACCCAATTCCTTCTTTCTCATGTCTTTTTTACTATCCTCTCCATCACCCCTTAATTCTGTGCATTTGTAATGTTGACAAGCTTAGCTATCTCTTTCTTTCATTTACTGATTTCCCTCCAGCGGTTCGCAACCTGTGGGTCAAGACCCCTTTGGTGGTCGAACGACCCTTTCACAGGGGTCGCCTAAGACCATCCTGCATATCAGATATTTACGTTATGATTCATAACAGTAGCAACATTACAGTTATGAAGTAGCAACAAAAATAATTTTATGGTTGAGTCACAACATGAGGAACTGTGTTTAAAGGGCCAGAAAGTTGAGAACCACTGGTAGAGCTTCCCTGCACCCCCCCCTCACACAGAGAGCCCCCCACCCCAACTATCTGGATTTTTATAGGGACAATCCATAATTAGGAACATAACAATTTAAAACAGTATAATATAAAGTAACTGTGGCTGTTATTATATTACTTTGAGTCAGTGTTCATATGTATATTATTCATTTTAAAATCATTCTCTGAGGTCACCAAATAGATCATCTGCTTATAGCCCATATCCCCCAGCTACTCTCATATAGACCTCCAAAAGAGGGCTTCAGAATTAGCATAACGGTGACATTTCTGCAGCATAGGAAGAAATCTTTATTTCAAGTACTTTTTTTCTTTTAACCAGTCCTTAAGACAAAATAAATCAGACTCTCTCTGACACTTGAAACCACCCATTTATTTAGAACTGATCTTATATGTTAGCATTTCCAACCTTGGAAAAATGATCTGAGGAAAAACAGGAGACATGATCACAAGTGCATTTTTCTCTCACTACTGCACATTCCCATTAATAATGCATGTTGATTGATCTGCAATATCTGGAGACTACTGGATATGCTGTTTGGATGTTTATCTGTCATCTCAAACTCAGTGTTTCTAAAACTACATGTAATATCTCGCTGAATCCTCTGTAAGCCTCACTAACTCAGATTCCTTTAGCAAACTTTCTCTCTGTCACCTACATTCCCATTAGGCTTGCATGGCTTGAAATATGTTAATCTTTCTTTATGTTCTAACGGCCAACCGATTTTAAAATTAGATACTTTTTAACCTCTAAGGCTTTATTTCTTTCTAAAAAAAAAAATCCTATCTGTTTTAGTCCCATTGCCAACAAACTTCCTTCCTATAACCATTTCTTATCTGACTCTGGATCTGGGGTCATCACAAGATACCTGAATTGGTACTTGAATAGCTTCCTTGATAAATTCTCATGTTAATTTATCTCGGTGAAATAGAACTGACCTAATATTTATTTTAATAATTTTACTACCTTCCTAGGAAATCTTCCTCATTCTCAATTTTCACCACCTTCAAGCCTATGCGTGAGTTTACGCGTTTATGCTTCATAATCTGATTGCACTCTCTAGACCCAGATTTATTTAAGTAGTTTGGTCAGTTATTTCACTTATCCAACAATTGTACTATACAAATTTTACTCAAAGAATTTCTTCCAAGGCTTTTGTTGTAGTGATTATGTTCAGTCATCACACACACACGGTGTGTCAAACATTGTCATTTGTCCGGTGACCTTGCCTACATGTGTTAACATTTTTTGAGCCATTTTTCTTCTCCGCAGAATGGAGTTAATACCCACCTTGCAGATTTGCTATGGGGATTACATAGGTACTGTTATAAAATTACCTTCTATCTACATAAAGTATGAAACCAATAAATGTTAATTTATTTAGTTCCCCAACTCTCATGGAATTATCTTGGAACTCTATTGCAATTCTCTTTGTTTACACAGATAATATGGAATCAAATTCTACTATATTGAAAACACTTCAAACTCTGGTCCTGCTTTTTGCTTCAGTTGCACTGTATGACCTTTCTCAGTAGTGCCTTGAAATGCTACCAAGCTGGACTATAAATAACTTTAAAATGCTCATGAATTTGTTTGCCTCTGTATTTTTTCACAAACTATTTTCCCTTCCTCATTTTTTTTTAAAAAAATCTGTCCTCCGTTCTTTCTCTAAAGGAGTATCTATTGCTAGTGATTCAATAATCAACTCAATGTCACCTTCTCCCAGAAGCCTGGACGTACTCCTGTTCATCTGTTATACAGCATTCTCCGCAGGTTTATCATTAAAGTTAACAACATTCTATAGGCATAATCTGCTCATTCTTTTATGTCTCTCACTGCTCTGAGAGCATTTTGAAGAAGAAACCATTTCAGTCATCTTGGTGGCCAATATAAGGGTTTGAAATATATTTCTTGAGTAGGCTCCTTGTTAAAATTACAATTGATTTGCCTAAGAATGCTTGATATTTTATGTTAGTCTGTTCTCTTAAATAAACTATAAGCTCCTTGTGTATATGACGTATAATATTTCTATTATTCCTACTACTTAGCATATTAGTTTACATATAGTGGATGATAAATAATTATTGATTGGTTGACTTTGAATATTAAAAATGATATTTATAAAGAGAAAAAGGGGGTAGAATAGTTCTTTTGAAGTGGTATAAAGCACTATATCATGTATTTTCATTAAGATCAATTCTGAGGACAATATGTTTCCATGTACTGCCTACAAATTTGGCTG